AACAATACGTAATAAAATTATGAAAAGGGGAGAAACTTGAAAGAAAGAATAATGTAACAGAAATTAAATTTGGCAAAAGACAGGCATATGAGCTGAACATTTGTATTAGGTAGATGCACTCCTTGGAGAGATCATTCATGGGAGAACAGAAGGGCTGTGTATGCACAGGGAGACAGTTCGAGGGGGTGGGAGTGCATGGGAGGGAAGGACACAGGGAAGAGGTGGCTATGGGGAGTAGGTGGGAGGAGAGCCATTGCATTGTGGGAGATTACAGTTAATGTCATGAGACAGAGTGTGTGTGAATATTGTGTGGAGGATGGATTTGCTCTGTAAACTTTCACCCAACTTCGCAATAAAATTAAAAAAAGAAAGAAAGAAATAGAATTTGAACTCTTCCCAAGAGAAGTATTATTTACCTTCCATCTGTCAGTTTTGGTTTTGGTCTGTAGTCATACTGTGGTGGCTTATATATTGCTATGATGTGGAAGTTATGCCACTGGTATTTCAAATACCAGCAGGGCTAGCCATGGTGGATAAGTTTCAGTGAAGCTTCCACACTAAGAATAGGAAGAAAGATGTGGCATCCTACTTCTGAAAGTTAGCCAATGAAAACCTTATGGATCACAACAGACTATTATGTGATCTAGTGCAGGAAGATAAGCCCTCTAGCTTGGAGGGCAGTCAGAATACACAGTGATAGTGGCTGTAATAATGGACTTGAGCATGCCAATGATCATGAAGGTGGCACAGGACCAGGCAACATTTTATTCTGTTGCACATGGGGTCACAATGAGTCAGAACCAACTCAAGGGTAACTAATAACAACAACACTGTAAGTTACTAAGTGAGGGAGTGAGGGTGAATAAGTGAATGAGAAGACTCCAGAGACCAGGCAAGCCAATGGAGTATACACGGTGCTACATTTTTTCACCTCAGCCAAGTGTCTCCTAAGAAACCACATAGGACAAATGATGCTGTGTGGTGGTTATGTTTGAGTGTCATCTTGGCTGGGCCTGGTTGAGTGGCTGGGCAGCTGGTGGTAGTTATTCCCCATGATGAGACTGGCAATCAACCTCATGGTG